CACTGCTAATGGCCGTTCCTCCGGGGGTCACTGGTTCACCTCTGCTGACCGGGGACACTGTCAAGCTGTAGGGTCCACGAGGGCCAGACACGGTGTCTGACTTTTCCCAAGCCTAGCACAGTGACTGGCAGGGGGTAGGTGCTCAACAAAGTACTAGAGGATGCAAATGGACCCGCTAAGGAGCCACAACAGCTGTCATTTACAAAGAAGAAAATTCAGGCTTAGCGAGGTGGAGGAACTTGATCAAAGTCACGCAGCTGGTAAGCTGCAGAGGCAGGATCTGAACCCAAGCAGTGTGGCTCCAGAGCATGTGCTCCTCACCAATCTGCTCGGCTGCCTTCCATACACTTAACATAGACACAGCAAGCACACACTCCCGTAAATGACACGTATACACAGCACACAAAACACTACCTGTGTTCATAGGCAACACACACATGAAATGCACGCGCGTACCCATGCGCGTGCACGCGCGTGCACACACACACACACAAGTGAATGTCTAGTCATTCGCTTCCTCTGTCGGCTGGCACCAAGAACAGGGATGGGCTCACCCAGGGAAGGGAGATCTCTGTGTTTCCGACTGGCCAGCCCAGGTATGCCCGGCCTTCACCTCACACTGCACCCCCTTACCCAGCCTCTAGTCCCTGTTCCTCCAGGGAGCCAGGTCCAAGGCAGGGAGTGTACTGCAGTTGACAAAGTCCCGAGGGAATGTGTTGGACATGAAGATGTTGTTCTTGGACACGACAGTGATGCCTGTGTTGTCGCAGATGATGCGGGGCAAGGAGATCTTGGCCAGGGCCCGCTGCTGCTGCATGCTGAACACATCCTTGTTCTCCCACCAAAACCTGCACGGGAACACCCACGGTCACTGTGACCGAGGCTCTCCTGGGCTGGGAGGGCATCAACTGGCCAGAGCTGATCCTGGACGCAAGAGGACCATGCAGACAGCAGCCCTGCAGCACAGGAGAGCTCCGGGCTCTCAGAAAGCCCGGGGGCTTTCAAACAAGTAGAGCCCCACTCATGGCTGCCCAGTTGCCTACCTCCTGCCTCCAGAGCACCACTAATGATAGGCAGGGAGCCAGGCCCACACACGCTCACCAAGCCCTGTGCCCTGGCCCTGGGCTATATCCACAGGGTAGAAAGAAACTTGGGAGTGCTTAATAATTGTCCACCTTTTTCCCGATTTTCCTAAAAGCACAATACAGGTGAGGTGAGAAGTGGCTATGAGAGATATATGACAGTGGAACGACAGTGGGAGAGGCGGTGGGGAAGCAATGACTGGACTGTTCAACAGGGACAGGCAGCGCCATGGCTGCGCCCTGAGACCCGGAGCAGTGACTGGCGTGGCAGCGAGGTCTCGCTTCCCTCCTTCACAGCCAGGCCCAAGTCCCTCCTTGCTACACCATCAACAGATTCAGAGCACATTAGGGGTGACCTGGAGGCTCCCCGGAACACAGTGGGAAATCACGGACTCCTCCTAGCCCTTCCTTTCTCAGGAGGAAGAGGGGCCCCCAGGGGGTCAGGGACAGGCCCGGAGCCGCACAGCCAGCCTGAGCCGCTCGGCTGCCTCCTCACCGATCGCCATCCCGCAGCTTCCTGAACTGGGTCCCGATGAGGCAGGCGAGGAGCGGGCCCACACGGCCTTTGCTCTTCAAGGGCTCAGCCACGCCGCCCATCCAGATGTCGATGTTGTCAGGTGTGCCATACTGGGCCATCAGCTTCCTCGCCAGGTTCAGGTTCTTCAGCACCGTGCCCAGCTCGCCCACTGTGCTGGGCTGCGGGAGCCCGCAGAAGCGCCTCCAGGCATTGTATCCTGTATGCGGGGAGGGGAGAGGTGGCTGTGGGTGGGTCCCAGTTAGCCCACCTTCCCAACACACCGAGGCCACATACAGAGGTACACGTGAGAGAGGAGGATATGGAGGGGCTGCCACCCCACTGTAAACCCCCAGGGAACCCCCGGCCTCTCTGGGAGCCTGAGGACAGCTGGGTCTCTCCAGGAGCCTCTCTGTCTTCCCTGTGCCCTCCTACCCTGAGGTAAATCCTTAACTGCATAACTCCTGCTAGATCCAAGAATAGGAGCATCTCCTTGCCCCTCTGGAAATCTCAGACCGCGAGGGGCACAGTTTGCCTCAAAGGATCAGCCACACCAGCTCTCCCGTATCATTGGGGTTAGGCTGATCTGGGTTCAAATTCCAGCTCTGTCACTGATGAGGCTGGAGACCCTGGGCAGGTTCTGAATCTCTCCAAGCCTCTTTCCTCACGGGTAGACTTGAAGTGACAATAATCTCTTCCTCTCAGAGTTCATGTAAGATGAAACAAAATGAAATGTAGTAGAAACAGGTTTTCAGACTGGGGGTGGGAGGGCTTGTTGTTGTTGCTATGGTGATGCTCCAATTTGGAGGGTTACAGCAACACAAAAGGGGTGAGAGGAGCTGGAAATGGACCAGGGAGAGGTAAGGGCCTGAGCTGGGATGGCTTCCTAAGAGCAAGGCTGGTGGGCGCAGGGCTGGGCAGCTGGGGACACTGGAGACAGCAGGGCCCTGGGTGGGAAGCGGGGGAGGGTCAGGGGGACTCCTGCAGCCCCTCACCTGGGAGGCCATGGTCCCGGCTGCGCTGCATATTCAGAGCGGGCAGGTCCAGCCCGATCCTCATGACCTGCTCGAACAGCCGCTCCCGGATCTCATCCACCACGATTTGGTTCTGGCGGTTCAGCTTGGCAGGGGTGGCCATGAGGCCCCGGAGGATGGGGTCGATGCCACCTGGGGCAAGAGGAGCCAGGGTGGGGGAAGGATTTGGCTCAGTTTCAGAGCTGAAATGGAGTAAGGTAGAACCAGGGGGATTGCAGAAGAGGGCTGGGCACTTGTGGCTCCTGGCGCCACGGTGTCCCCAGGGGGCAGGTCCTCGCTGGGGCACTGAGGTCTTAGGGAATCATGCCATTCAGACTGGCAAGGTTGCCATGCTCCCAGACGCTGGCTTCCTGCGTCACTG